ATAGAACATATATGTATATATTTAGTTTAGATTGTAATTGATATTGACAGCAGTTTTTTCTTCTTTTTATTATCTTTTGCTTTTCAAAATATTCGTGAATCATCTACACAGAAATTCGTACAGCTAGTAAAAACCCTCTAAATTCTGTCGAAATCGATTAAACCAAATTCTATAAATGATATGTGCTCATATTTGCTATGCCATAAAATATAACAACTTTTTCATTTCAGTTCTCAGTTGATTTCTCATCTAGCTGTAACAGTGTTGTAAAGTCGCGCCGACAGTAGTTAGATTGAAAGCAGCTATCAATTATATTTTGCCTGGGATTATGCATAGAGTTCTGCTGTCCAAACCATGTTCATTGCCAGCAATAACTCATGCCGTTATGTGTGCTCCTCTTCTTCTGCTTCTTTTAGACCATTAGTCGAACGGTTATCAACACTTGGACGCGCGATAAGCGGCAATTCCCACGCATGGCTACACTGGCCAACCTAGCACAACTTCCGCACTGATCCCGCTTTACACTGAGGAGGGGCAGCGGCCGGGCCAGGGGGCAAGTAGGTGTGGAGTGTGCGGGCTTAGTTTTTTGTTTTCTTCTTTTTTTTATTATTGTTTTTGTTGGCGCTATCGCGCGTTGCTCATACGCCATGTGCTCAATGTCGTCATCGGAAGTGATTTGTTTATCGATTTGCTGGCGGCAACAGCAACAGCAACAGCAGCAACAACAACTTATTCAAGTGCGCTTGATTGACGACTGCCATCCCCTCCCCCACGCCCCCACGCCCCCGCCGCCCCTTCCTGCTGCCCAACCCACACATAACAACGCCTTCTACACGATCCACGCTCTTGATTTTGTTTAATTGTAATCAGAATTCAGAATTCCGAATATGCATATGTGTATGTATGTATGTATTTTGTCGCTGTCTATGTTGGGGCTGTTTTGTTTTGTTTTTTGTAAACGCCTTTGGCTTTGGGGCGTGGCAGTCAGCGAAGCATTAAATCAAATAATTGACTAGCAACGAACGTCACAGCGCCAAGTTGCGTGAGCTTCTTCCTGCCAATAAGCTGATTAGCAGCTGCTTTGGCCCGCTTAATCACGTCAGCGCCAGCGCCAGCGCCAGAGCCCCAACCGCAACCCCAACCCCAACCCCAACCCCAAGACGCGCTCGAACACATTGCCAAGTCGCGTACTCAACCCCACGTACATGCTACGAAAAAAAAACAACAAACAACAAACTCTTCCTGTATTTTGGCTTACATGTGTCTCAATTGAAAAGACAAACCCCCCCCCCCCCCCGCTCTTCCACCCCCCGCACACAGTACTTCCCCGGTCTGCCGCCATCTGTTCGACTGGGCTTGACTTTGGGGCGGGGGGGAGGGCACGTAATTGAATGCGAATAGCTTAATTTTCAGTGGATTTATTTTTATGGCTCGGCTCACAATTATACAATACATTAAAGGGGCATTAAAATTTCCGGTTCTAATCCACGCAAAATCCACTCCGGCTATCGTTCAACCTATTACAATTATAATCTAATCGCATAGAACCAAACAAAACGGTTATTAAACGGGTAACCGGGTATCAATACTTTAAGATTTACAGAAAGAGTTTATCTCTAAAGTTAACTGAGAGTTAAATATTTGTCAGCTAGTTGGGATTCCAGGAAGTAACAGCTATTTTGCCATTTTAAGCATCGCATACTTTAAGATTTATAAAAAGAGTTTATCTCTAAAGTTAACTGAGAGTTAAATATTTGTCAGCTAGCTGGGATTCCAGGAAGTAACAGCTGAAGATTAGCTATGGCTTATCTTCAAAACATTATCTATAAGCCATGATTCTTCTTCTTCTTCTTTTATTATTAATATCATTATAATCATATAGCGTATACCACGTGTATTTGGGGGCGCTTGAACTTCGAAAACAAGTTTGAGTTAAGGCGGCATATTTCGAGGTTCAGCACCCCTAAAGAAAGAACGAAAAAAAAAAAACGATACGCACATAAGCTATTAAACTAATTTGTGTATGCGGTTGGAAACTTGTTTAGGGTCCATAAGCCATAAGCCGAAATACGCGAAAGAATCTTAAATACTTGGCACATCGCATAGGTTCGGAGTCCGAAACTTTAGGCAAGTCACTCTATTAAACTAATGAAGTTTAATGGAATATCTGCCATTTACTCACGTACATACATATAAACCATCTACAAGCGTAGCTGTTAAAGCAGATTTGCACATTGTGTTAACTAAATTAATAGTCGACTAACTTAATTATTACTGTCCGCATAAGCTGCTGCCTCTTCAGACATTTATTTGCTCTTTTACACTTTGTCCTTGTTCAATATAACGGCCTCCAAGCATTTATCTTGCTCTCTCTTTCGCTCGCTGCACATGTATGGCCCCTGCTGTACACATGTGCCTTTGTGTGAGTGTATATGTGCATGTGTGCCTCGAGGGGGGCTGGCTGGAGCGTGCGCCTGCGCTCATCATCATCGTCGTCGTCGTAGTTTAGCTTTTGTGTGTTGCCATGCGAAAAATTGTAATTTTTTTTAGTGCTATTATTTCTTTGGTTTTTTTTTTTTGCTCAATTTTCGCGTCTCCTTTTGTGGCTGTTCCCTTAATGATCTCTTTTGTTAGTTTCACTTCACTTCAGTTCAGTTCCGTTCGGTTCGGTTCAGCTCCCTTTTTTCTCAGTTGCCGTAATTCGAGCGGCTGGTTCGATGGCTTCGCGTCTGCCTCTGTCTCTGCCGCTGCCGCTGCCGCTGCCTCTGCGTCTGCCTTTGCGCCTTTGCCTCTTGTGCGCGCTTCCTCTTCGTGGAATTCATTCAACTTTATTCGCGCACACATGCAAGCGCTTACACATACATATGCATATACACAACCACACACACACACAGTTTATGGGAACTTATGAATGATGCCAATGATCATTACAGTCAGCGTAATGATCATGCCGATCATGATGTTGTGTTTTGTTGCCACAAATAGAAACACGCGCCGTTTGCATTGCAATGCATTTCCGTTTTGGCAACGTTGCCAAAGCTGCAACAGTGCCGCCAAATGGGCTAAAATGCTGCAAACCAGGGATGCCAAGGCCTGTGTGTGTTTGTGTGTGTGTGCATGAATTTGCATACGCGTGTATGTGTATGTGTTTGTATGTGAGGCAATTCAACGAACTCGCGCTGATATCACATTAAAAGTTATGACACATTTTAATGGCCGATTTTGCATTGATTTCGAATGCGAAATCTTTTTAACAGAGAGAGGAAGAGAGAGAGCGAAAGAGGGAGGCAGAGAAAGAACAAGAACCTGAGTCCTATAGAAAAGTCGTAGAGTTTGAGCCAAACAAAATGCACAAGTTTTTTCATACTGTAAAGTAAGTGTAGGCATAATTCTTATAATATAATTCACTTATTTTATTCTTTGTGGTATTCCGCATATGCTCGATATAAGCCAAAAGTAGGGTATTCCAATTCCAATGTGACCAGTCTCGTGCTTTTCTGTTTTGTCAATGCTGCTGTTGCTCTCGCTCCGTATTCGCTGCTGGCTTTACCCACTACGCAATTCCATTCAGGCACGATGCTAACCGATTCGATCCGATACGATCGGTCGTCGCCGTCTTTTCTTTCATAAATCAAAGCGCATAACTGCCGGCCGGGGCGTGCGGTGCCATCAAGAGCGGTTGTCAAAAGGGAGTGAGCGGGCGACTGCGTGTAGGGAGGGGGGGGGGGGGGGGGGGATGCTTTTGTTTTGGATTTGCATTTAAATATTGAATTTGCCAAAAAATTACGCTACAATTTCAAGTATCTTTCACTGAATTTGTTTTTGCAATGTCAAAAGCTAGGTAGGCGGGGGTAGGCGTGGTGGGTGGTTTATAAAGACACATTCGCGCGCGCGCACACACACACACACACACACACACACAGGCACAGTCACATGGAGCGGCGCTAGGCACAAGCTGGTACCTGTTTGTTGTAGTCGCTTTTGGCTCAGCTTTTTTCTTGTATTTATTTTAATTTTTAATTTTCGGTTATTTTGTTTTATTTGGTCAGTTTTTTGTTTTGAGGAATATGTATTTGTTTATTTTTGAATTTTTTTAGCTACTTTTTCGCCGTTTTTGTTTATTAAATGTGCGTTGTTTTTTGTTTTTTGACCATGTGCCGTTATATTCGCCTTTCTAAGCAGCCGAAATAGCAGAAATTCCATGACAGTGAAAGCAAAAGGAGGTGTGGCCCCAGACCGGGGGACTAACGATGAGCTCCAAATTTATATAGTCGCCAGAATTGTTGTTGCCTTTGTTAGCGTTAACAGGCGAGTGAATCGACAAATGAATTCAAATCCAAATACAAATCATTATGATTTTTGAATTTTTAACTAGAACTTCGAATCGAATGACTAGTTATTTTAATGCTTTTTCAACTGGCAGTACCATATATGAATAATACGTTCTGTAATCAGATCATATGTATATACTTTCTCAGAAAGTTGATTAACGCTGAAGTTTTTCAGTTCTGACTGTTCCTTGGAATTTTGAAAATACAGTATTTCTTTGTCCTTTCAATCTTTATAAAACCAAGAAAACATACATACTTCAGAGGTATTCTCCATAAAATGTAGTCCATGTCTATAGTAGTACGAATTAGTAAAGATTCAAAAGAAACAAGCTCTTCAAACTCAAGCTCAACATTTTATTATCGAGTACCATACCATGTATAGGACCTTCTTTCCATTTACCTTACGCGACTTTACTGACTCTTCGAAAAATCGAAGAGAAAAAAACACAAACACTTGGCTTAAAGCTTGATTTTGAAATATGCACAGAGCAGTAGCCCGATAGATGTCACTTACACACATACAAGTATGTATATATATAATATATATATTGTATATTTATAGCATTTTAAGTATTTGTCAATGTTGTATATAGTCGATATGTGTTCAACCGTTACTAGCTAGTAAATTTTCCGTACAAGCCGCACCGTTTTTATCATCATCAAAATTCTATTTTCCTTTCTTTCATTTTTTTTTTCTGTTTCTGTTCATAAAAATTTGTAATGTACTCGCACTAAGACAGACAACAAAAATAACCTACAACCTTGTGATCTATGCACCCACAAAAGCAACAACAAGAGAGAGCAAAACCCTGAAAACGACGGCACTGTAAGAAAGCCAACGAGTGGAAACTTCTCTCCCGCCAATTGTGCAGCTGGCTGCACTACGCGTGTGCGTGTGTGTGTCTGTGTGTCTGTGTGTGTGACGGCATCAACAGGCGTGTGCAGCACGTGCAAAAACCCAACAGCAACAACAATAACGGCAACTTTTCTAGTGGCTGCGGGGCGGGACGTGCGCTGGCTTTGGCCCAGGCCACTGGCTTTTCTGTTGGGGAACACTTATCAAGCACGTTGTCGTTGTTCTTGTTGCTGTTGTTCTTGTTGCTGTTGTTGCTGTCGTCACAGGCGTCGAATCACGCTCTGGTGTGATTCACTGTGTCGTCATCGATAGCAGCGCGCAATTCAACTTGATTTGAATCGTATTACTGGGTTTTTTGTTGTTGTTTTTTTGCATTTTGTTTTTGTTATTGTTTTTTTCCTTCCTCTCCCATTTCTTTTAGTGTTTATTTTACTGCCCCAGGTTCTTCTTATACATATTGTTTATATCGCGCTCGTCGCTAAACGCGCCGTTTAGTTTGATTTGAGCTGCAAGTGCAAGCGGGCGAGTCAAGCGTCAAGTATCGAGTATCGAGCGAGAACCGTGAATTAAGCGAAAGTTATTTGTTGAGCAACGATCACACATTTCCAAAACCAAACCGCCGATAGAAACTGTGCGCCTTTATGTATTCAACAGTGGCATGCATTTGTATCTCGAAGACTTATTGCAAATGCAGCTATACAAGATTTGTAAGTCACTCACACACACAACAGACACACTCACACACATACAGCGCAGAAACTCTCCACTGTTGAACTGTTAAACTGCATTGGCTAATGCTCATATTCTCTCTCTGTTCTCTTTCTTTCTCGCAGATGACAACATGCAACGTTATAACAACAACACCAATAACAACCAAAACAACAACAATCAAAACAACAACCAAAACAACACCAATAACGGCAACAACAGCAACAGCAAACGCTGCGCACAGAAATACGCCAATGGCAACTTAGCAACGGCTGCTGGCCATGGCCCAGCAGCAGCAGCAGCAGCAACAACAACTGCAAGCAATAATTACCAGCAGCAGCAGCAGCAGCAAAGCAACGGTAACAACAGCAAAGCGACACGCAAGTCGCGCTACAACAACAAGCGTCAGGATGTGCAAGGAGCCGCCGCCGCCGCCTACAACATGCAGAAGCGCACAAATGCCGCTGGCAACGATTCGTCCTGGCACCGTTTTGTCACTTCTTCATGCATCGAAGGTAAGTGCAACAATAGCAAGAATAACAGCAACAGCACACGAGCAACAACAACAACAGCAATCACACGCTGATTCATTAAAACATTCGTCGCGCTGCTGCTTATAAAATTCCGCACAAATCGCACGCCCATTCACAATGATTCATCAGTCACAGTCGCAACGTCATCGCCAGATTTCTCCAAGTATCTTAATCAGCTGTTAGCTGGCCTCCATAAATACCAACACACACACACATTCAATTGTATGCATGTATGTATACTACTTAGAGAGCACTCACTTTGATTAGAGGCATGCCAGCAGGCCGACTATCCGACTATCCGATTATCCGACTGTCCGACTATCCGACAATCTGCATGTCAGGCTTCCTTTTTGGGTCACGAGCTGGCTACAGTGGCCGCCATAATTATGCATACAGTTGAAAATGATTGAGTGCTAGCAAGTGGAACGACAACGACTCACGATTTAGAACAAATAAAAAACGAGCAAGTCAGGCTTAATTTAACACACCGAAAATTTAATACCCTTGTAGTTGAATTGCAGGGTTTGGTCCAGATAACTTAAAAATGCAAAAGTTCTTCATATAAATCCCATGTTTCGACCGATTCTTTCTCTACAGCATATTGATAGGATTTTGATTTGATGCTTTAACTTAGTTTTCAACCGATCTATATTATATACATATATACTTAATGAGTTTGAAGTTGGCTTCGCCAATGCCTAACATATTTCTTGACAAACATTTTAATGCACTCTATTGGGGTATAAAAGGCTTTCAAATACTTAACGTTTGTATCTGCATATCTATCAGATGTTATCTATCTTTCCGTTGTCTATATACCTATGTGATTATCTACCTGTCTATCAGCCAGAAAAGTTGCCTATTTGTCATTTGTAAACTTTAATTCTATGTATATACATATCTATATATATATTCCATAATTGAAGAGAACCATTCAAGCATATTTTAAGTAATTATCCTAAGGTTCTTGCCAGATTAACCTCAGCTTTATTCATAAGATATTTGCTTAAGCAAAACCATCTGCGGACAGTCTCACTCTGATAAGCTTTAAGCATATACCGTTCGTTCCCTTGAAGTCAGTCTATACTGCTATATACTAAATCGGGTGATTATCATTCATTTCAAATGACCATCAACAAAACTTGAACATAAAATGCGCAAGAGAAAAAAAAAAAAAACAAAAAAGAAATACATACGTAGAGGCTAGCCAAGCACTTCAGTGTCACCAGCTGGGAAAATCACAGCTGGAAAAACCACAAGACAATAAAAAATATATATGTATGTATATAAAATTATGGAAAGTTTAAAACGCAGTTTCTAAACTTAGCCAATCATAATGTTAGTATGCGCTTATCTATATCGGTTTAAACAAGCTGCGCTATCTGAGCAATAACATTTGATTTTATAAGGGGCCCTTAAGTCTTGCACCCGCCCACGCCCCCTCCGCCCCCCCGCCCCTTACTGTGCCCCCAACCATGCCCAAGTTGGGTGTCTATCTTTAGGGCATTTAATTAAAAATATATTTTAGAATTCCAAAGCGATAAGCATATGCTAGTTTATACTGCGGTTTAGTGGGTGGCAAATGTAAACAAACATATACCAAGACTTTATGCCAGCTAATAATCTTTAGGAAGTGGGATATATTTTTAGCGAAAGGCCTTCCTTTTCGCATGCAATTAGAATGTGGTGAGCATGTGCCTACACTCCCACACCCACACACACACACACACACAAACACACACACACACGCGCGCACGCGTGCACGCAAATTGAGGCTGGGGCATGCGGGTCTCTGATTCGCAAAACTATTTTCAGGCCTCGGTATTCCAATTTCAATTGAAATGTAGAATCATAAATAAGAAAATTGCAGGAAATCTTCGCTTAAGCTAACCGCAACAGCCTTAATGAAAATCGTTGCCAACTCGTGCACACACACACACACACACACACACAGGTGCCTGATTCTTCTCGTTTGACTTTCGCTTTTCAAAAAATAAATTATGTGTGAAGGTGGCAGACAAAATCAATTAAGATTCACACACTCAAAAAGAGGCAGAAGAATCGCGATACTAAAACAAAAACAATAACTTCATTAGCTAAACAAATAAACAAAAGCGTGATGAGAAAGCACGGCGATTAGCAATTAGTAAGAGCTTAAAAAGAAACCCCCAATAAAAAAGAATACAATAAATCTCAAGTCGAGCAGCGTGAAACCCATATTTATCGATAGCACGAGAAACCGATATATATCGATTATAGGCTTAAATTGGTCATTGAGCTATAAAATGCATAAATCAAATATAAATTTTGATTCGATTTTTCGATTTTGAAACCATGCAGATAGGTCCAAGTAACCCAAGCTTATCGAATATATTAATCGATATTTATCGATAGATATAAAAAACATGTCCAAACTGTAAAATTTAAATTGCAAAATATATTTGATCGATTTTGGGAAATATTGTCACAAATTTGATCAATAAATATATGAAATATATATATATATAATTTTATTCTGTTAACATATTTGCGATTACACGTAATCGAGAATAGGGGAAGAGATATGATAAGATTTTGATATTATTAGCCATGTGATATGAGCAGAAAAATTGCTTACAAATTTGTATGTTTATAGATCGCGTTGATGTAATTTTTGGCACAAACAGGATGTCCAAAATAGTTATATACATATATCATAAATAAGTAATAAAACAAAAAAAGCACTAAATCACTAAAAATAAACCAAGAACCACGTGTCATATATCATAAATAGCGCAAGCATTCAATACCACACGAATTCTCACATAGTTTTCCCCTCAGTTTATTTATTTTGTTAATTTATTTGATTTTTGTTTGTTGTTCTACCAAAAGTTTCCAGCGACGTGTTTTTTTTTTTGTTTTTGTTTTAGCTTTATTTTTTTGTATTTGTATTTGTTATTGCTTAAGTTGTTGTCAGTTGTAAGGCGCCGTTATGTCATTTATTTATAGCATTGCCAACAGGAGCCCAAGAACAACAATTTAATACGCAATACCCGTGGAATCGTCTGATTAGCAGTTCAGATCTCACGCCCGGCGCTGCTTGCTGGTGGTTCAGCTGTTCCCCTCTACCCCTCTACCCCCTTACCCCCTTACCCCCTTACCCCATTACCACCTTACCATCCACGTTTCCATTCATGTTGTGGTATCTGAAAACAAAAAACGAAAGAAGGAAAAAACCGCTTAAACGCCACGAACTGATAGCCCAAGTCCAACAATCAGTTTGATTTTTATTCGATTTGCCCCGCCCTGGGGCGTTGCATAAGTCGTTCGTTTTGTCATTGATTAGCACTTGGGGCAGCAGCAGCAGCAGCCGCTCTCGAATGTTGATTTTTTAATAATATAGAAAAGCGTTCTCTCAGTGCTTACACAATGCGAAAAACTTGATAAATACTAAATCTATCTAAATATCAGCTTCATAAAAAGATGCGCGATTCATTTCCTATTTGCTAAGTGGCAAAGGCGGCAACTCCTTAGCACTGAGGGGCTCTCCCAACTTATTTATCGGTCGGCGAGCACATGAAAAGCGTTGCCAGATGGGTTAACATTTCACAAAAAAATATAACTATCGTATCACTTGCTAAGGGGCGACAATTATGACATTTAGCAGAGAACTTAACTACACCTAATCAAGCAGAAACTACCTAAAAAGCGTTGCCAGATAGTTTTCATAATAGATGTTCATGACATTAAGCAAAAATCCTAAATACATGTTTATTCACATGAAAGGCCTTGCCAGATATATCCGCCAACTACCTGCTTATTTACTCAGCCACAATCTATATGAACAGCGTTGCCAGATAGATGCACTTTTGCATAAATAGTTTTCATTACTAGCTGCTCATTCCTGCAAGCACTGCATGCAAAGCGCTGCCAGATAGAGTTCATATTTCATAATTATTTTTCATATGCCATTAAGCAGAAAACCTTACAGCATGTATAATCTTTATTAAAAGCGTTGCCAGGCAGATAAACTGCGCCATAGAAAGATACTTGGAGGTGTGATCTGCCTTCATCTAGTATTCATATTCCAATAAGCAGACAATGTTGATGTTTGCCAGACAGGCTATAATTACTCTTGAACACAAGCTCGATGAACAGGGTTGCCAGATGGCTGCACAAATCTGAGAAGCGTTAGGTGGGGATGCCATCTGGCTGTCCATTAGCTCAGATTACATGCAAAGCGATGCTCGAAATTGATCTTCAGATGATTTCCCACTTGAAGCGCTGCCAGATGGTCGGCAATCTGAGAGCTACATATTTAATAGGGCCTATTGATTGGTCTAACTGGATTATGTTTCTTATTAGAGTAACTCATTTATTTCGTGATTCCTCTTCCGTAATTTGCAATTCACCTTGTTGGGATGGCCAAGAAATTATTGCAGCTGCTGCACATTCACGCCTCGTTGCCTTTCTCAAATGTTAATGTGGCGCTGGAGGCAGGGGTAGCTGGGGCGAAGGGGACGGAGGGGGGGCGGGGCGACTACGTAATCCGAAGATGGCGCAAAAACTTGAACTCATTTCTCGTTGCCTTTTTAAGTGGCAGCTCGCAGACTGCAGACAGATGTGTTATGTGGAGAGTGGAACGGCTAACGGTGCGGCACACTCACACACACACACACATACACCTGCACACACACAGACAGACGGCTACACAATGCAGTTGCGTTGAGATACTCGCATTATTAACCTATTAAATGCTCTGGCACACAAATCTTTTGCTATTAAACAGGGGCGCACATAAATTATTTTGCTTTCGCCAGGCCGATCAACCTAATTCCTTTCGATGCCACCAACCAAGTCCCTTTCCCTACCTGCCCCCTTCCACCCATCAACCTCAAAGATACTTGTCTCCCACTCGCAACGCTGTCAATGGCCAAGGTTAACACGTTTGCCTTTGAGCAATAGCTCAGAAGCTCTGCTTGATAATTATCATGTGTATCTAA